GATTTATTATACGTTTTCTAAATATATAATGATGGTAATAATAATGAGTAAATCATTGATAGTATTTTACACAACAAACAGTTAGCTCTCACAGTTCAAATAAATATATAAACGTTGTTATATATGAAATTAAGCATGAAAAAGCTATTGTATCTAATATTATTATGATAATTAAGCAACTAAAACAAGTCAAGTCAAACCCAATCTTCCAATAAAAAACAGATATCTGTAATTAGAATGCAATAAGCTCCAAATACATTGACATATGACAAAAGTGATTTTAAAAATAAATAAACCCAAGACTAATATAAATTACTGTAATTGACCTATTAAGTTTTGGTTAATAAATAATACGTCTTAAAAAAACAAAGCAAAAAACAATAACACAAGTGGTATTTTATTTTCCTTTATGTTAGCACAATCACCATTAATTCTATTTACCCCATCCTCTTATTCATTTCTATGTCAAGCCTTGACTCTAAAAATGGGCACCTTTTCAGGCTTGATCTCACACAGGTCAAGCTGAAAGAAGCTGTTTGTAGTATTAAAAGGACATTCTAAGCACAATCATTACTTAATTCCATTGTAATGGTTATGGTGGTCAGTGAGTGAGTGTTTGTCAGTCAGTGAGTGAGTGTATGTCTGTCAAGTAGTGTATGTCTGTCAGTGAGTTTCTGTGTGTGTGTGTGTGTGTGTGTGTGTGTCAGTGAGTAAGTGAGTAAGTGGATGTATGTCAGTGAGTGTGTGTCTGTCAGTAAGTGTGTGTCTGTCAGTGAGTGAGTGACATGAGGGGGCAGCAAAATGGATCTTTTCCAAAGGCGGCCGAAATCCTTGCACCGGCCCTGTGTGTGACTGTATGTGACTATATATGTGACTATGTGCCTGTAACTGTGCATGTGACTGCGAGTGACTATTTACTTGTGTGTACGTGAGAGACTGTATGTGTGACTAAGTGTGACTGTGTATGACTGTGTATGGCTGTGTGTATGTGACTTTATGTGACTGTGTAGTCATACAACCTACAAGATCCAGCACACTCACTCATTCAATAAACAACAATTTCAAAGCTCCAATAATGTAATAGCTTTATTTAAAAACACCTCACCTTGGCAAAAAATAATGGAGGTTTAGTTACAGTATATTATCATAAATTGCATAAGCCTGTCACAATGTCAATGTACCCCATTTTTGGCAGGTCCTACTCTAGCAACCTAATGCCTGCTCTAATGAGATGAATGCACTTAATTGAACTTAGGTACATTGGCGTTGTGGTAGGCTTATGCAATGTATGATCATATACTGTAACTAAACAACCTCGAGTGGATATCATTAACATGAACGAGTGATTATTTTCACCATCAGCTGTTTTTATCTGCCTATGTTTACAGTTACATTTCCAAGCAGGTTTTAGTTAGGTAACTGGTCTTTGTCATTATGCCCATACATAGACATGATATTTTCTTTCTGCTGACATTTTGGGAATCTGCATTTTTGGAAATAGAAGCATCCTTTGATGAAAAGTGATCTTATGTATTCATATTTTGTATCACATCTACTGATTATTACAAAAATTCAATGTTCTTGCCAATTTATTTTTTTTCTTCTTTTTTCTTGGAATGAATATAAATCTGTACACAACATAATACTTCGGTTTTAATACAACAGGAAATTAAATAAAACACCCATATATATGCAATAATATCCTTATCATTCTGCTAATGACATCACTTTACTGTCATTACATTAGTCATTAAATAAACACTGAATTTCAAGCATGTATAGCAACCCAGGAAACCTGAAGTCTTTGTTTCAATTAATTGTTACATTGTGTCCAGCGTATATAACAAACCTCAGAAACCTTGGGATGAGCAATGCAAATATCTGTGCTGTGTATTCTTCCAAGTCTTTTGGCACTATAGAACACATTCCAGAGCATGAATTTATGAAACCATTAAAATAAATAAATGTATATACAATAAATTGCTGACTTTGATAAAACACCATATTAGCAGAAGAGAGTAAAGCAGGATAAAAAATTACGCCAGCGTGATGGATTGACTGCTCATCTTAACACGCTACTAATTGCTTTATCTTCTGTTCAACAATTTTTCAGAATGGAAAAAAAAAGTCATAGGAATAAAAATATATAACTTAATGTCACAACAGTATTTTCTATCATAATAGTAGTTTAAACAGTAAAATTGATTTAATCCAGGAGGTTTTAGAAGAATTAATACGATATGTAAAACTACAAATTATATGGAGGCTCTTCTAGCAGAATTCTGGTTTCATCTTTGAAAGATTGCTTTTTCCTTTAAGGGCTTTGTCAGGCTGACCATGTCTTTATTTATCTGCAGTACAACATGCTTGTTCTTCTCCCATTCACTCTGCAAATTTATGATGCCTTATTAATCTTCGGCCCTGCTGACTATCTCTGTTACAAAGTGTCAGCAGACTTTTGTACCTTGCTAATGTACAAAGGGCTTCCTATGAGTAATATCAGCATTTTGCCTTTTAATTGCACATATAATTTTTAGGTCTTACAGCTAATAAGGGAATTGAGACCATAGTTCATCACTGTCTTCAATGGTACTCCAGGGGTGTAGGGACTGCAGAAGCTCTTATAAGAATGTAGCAGCACTTGTTTCGCTTGTAGAGAGCAGAATGCCAGATGAAAGGAGCTGTGTTCTGTGCATTAAGTTCCATTGGAATTTCACTGGAATACATAAATAATCAATTTGAATTTACTAACCTTTTTTAGAGGACTTTGTGGGGTATATGGGCTAAATTACATCCTGATATAAATACTGCAGGAACTTAAAAAGAGAAGACGGTGGCATTTTTATTTCTTCAATGTCAAAATTGTTGATGAAATAAAAGTTCACGTTTTCTTACCTACTGACACTGCTTTACCAAGGAAGAGCAGCATATGTAGACACCAATTTCTCACCGTAAGGCAGTTTGCAGAGAAATATCTTGTTTTAACACTGCCGTTGTAATTTAATTGTAATTTAACCCTGCACTGCCACAGCACGCTATAGCACTGTTACAAGGGTTATGTTTAACATGGGTCTTCACATTGTTAAGGTTATTTTGCAGGTTGAATATACATGTAGTGGTTTGCTATATATATATATATTTTTTAAATTTAGAATTTTGTGATAATTACAATTATTTTGCTATTTCATTATTTTGTGAAAAACATGCAGGCACCCATTGTGCAAAACAGCAGCAATGAAAACAGTAAACAAAGAGAAAAACAGTAGAAAACCCAAATAACCACCACAAATGCAAGGTCAGCTTGCTCTCGACAGCAAGATAGAAACTGACTTGATGGCAGTCTTAGGGTGTTGATAAAAATTTTATAGAGCACCCCTAAAGGATAAAGGAATAGGGATCAGAGTCCAGAGCACAGACATAAGTGACCCTCTTTCAGAAGATTAAACAAAATATTGTCACTAACTTGGCCGAGAGGTATCATAGTCAGGGTTGGAAGACCAAAACTCAATTTGGGATAAAACATAGTTCACGGTGCAGCAGTATTTTGCCCTGGGGTGTTTGAAGATTCTGGTATCCTTAAGGAGATGATGGGCCAGAGGGTGTTCACCAGCAAGAAGACCATCAAAACCCTGATGTGCCATTAAGATAGCAGAGCAATAAACATTCACCAAAAATGTTCAATGGGAGGTAGGGATGGAGGTAAGATTTCTATGGCTATTTCTGGCAATTGAGGGAATCATGAGTGAAAAGGCAAGAAGTGAGCCAGAAGAACAATGGTTGTAGTCTGACGATGGATCTGCATAATCTCTGTTCTTCAGGCCTCACCTCACACTCATACTCATAGGAACAGCTATAGTGAAGCTCTGCATTTAACATTCTACAGAAACTCCCACAACTCCCAGGCATCAACATACACACATACTCATAGGAACAGCTGTAGTGAAGCTCTGCATTTTTCATCCTGCAGAAACTCCCAAAACTCCCCGTACTGACTGAAGCTTGAAAGATACTTCACCTAATTTATTCCTACATTGCTACTATATTATCATGTGTTACTGTAGAATTGTTACCAAATATACCTGTAGTTAGCCACTGTAATTTTCAGTGCATGCAGTTCTTTATCATTGCCATTTAATGTTTGTGACCAATATTTCATGAACACAGTTATTGATATTTTGGGTGATCGAATTTGGTTGAAACACATGGTTATTCTTCCTCCCTCTCCTCCCCCCACTCCCCACCCTCTTTCCTATGCTCCTCCTGGCAGTAAATACCATCATATATCTTCATATAACTATTCCATCTCCATCTCTGTTCTTCAGGCCTCACCTCACACTCATACTCATAGGAACAGCTATAGTGAAGCTCTGCATTGTTTCTTACCACTGTCACAATGCTCAGGCCTAGGGTATTCCAAGCAAAAAGCCCAGAAGTCTTTGGTCATTGGTGCCAAAACTGGGTGTCAGATTGTGTGCTCCCGAGACAACATGTCAGCTGTATGCTATATCAATCATGTGTCTATATGAAGTTTGTTACAAGTATTGGCTCATTTCTTGGAGAAACTCCTAAATGAAAGAAAGCCCTCCAGTTAAGCCAGACAATTGATGTGTAATTCAGACTCATCCTAAGACCAATGACCATTTGTAGAGATATCCCTCCACCTGGCCCACCAACTGTGAAGGCTTGCATCTGAGTCTATGGACAATTTTGAGGACATCCTGAAAACGGCCTTGCTATTCCATATTTATATCATTTGAAGACATTAGCAAAGTTTGTCCCTTGTATTCCTGTCCAAGCATACAAGATCCATGTAGGAAAGGCCCTTGTGAAGCTGGGAGATCTTCAACCACTGCAGAGCCTGGTAATGCATAGGATCAGGAAAGATGGATTGTATTAAGAACACAAGCAGTCCAACCAAAAAGTAAAACAGATGTATCGAAATACAGAGTTGCAATAGACCCCAACAAAGATCATTCCAGATCAAGCAGACCTTGCAGGTGGGAAGGATGGGGGTTTCAGCTTCAGAATTGATCCTTAGATCCAGGAATTCTAATCTACTTGATGGAGTGAAAAGCATATTCTCCCAACTTAAAAAGAATCCAAGACATTGGAAGAGATCTAAGTCCCAAGAAATGAGTAGGAGAAAGGTATTCACATCAAGGCTTCAGTAACTTGGTAAAAACACATAGGAGCCAGCAAGAGTTAGAATAGCAGACAGGTAAAGCACCATGCATAACTCATGTATAACTCTGCCAAAGGTATTGTAGTAGGTCCCTATAGGTGGGAGCAATGTGAACCTTGCAGTGGACATCCTTGAGGTCCAGCTTGGCCATCTAGCCTGAGGATCACTACCTAAGAAAATTAATGCCCTGTATCTTAAAGTGGCAGTAACATTCTAGAGAACTCAAGTATCAAATATTGATGATTGGTCACATTTGGCTACCCATCTTTTGGTCCAGGAAAATGGTGCTCAGAAAGCCCACAAACAGGTGTAAAGCAACTTCTACCATCTGTACTACCAATTCAGGAGTCTATCCTGACAAGAAAGAGGTGAGAGTTGAACTGGAAATTTAACCAATTCAATACTGTAACCTTGAATTGTCCTCAAGACCCAGGTGTTGGATGTGATAGTTCTTTAACTGCCCCCTCCTAGAAAGTACTGAGCCAAGAGCAGCTTAATCGAAATTACTGCAGAAACACCCAATTAAAAGTTAAAGTGACGACTGAAGGCCCAATGCAAGAGCCAGAGAGAAGTCCCAAAAGGTCACAGAAAATGAGGATGGTGGCAGAGATAGTAAAAGGAGCATCAAACACTGCAAAACACTGTGTAAAAAGATTACAGTAGCATGGGGAGAGACAAAGAGCAGGGTACAAGGATTATGAGAAGAAAAGCAGTGTTAAGGGTGCATGGGGAGATACACAAGAGTCATGGGATCTGATGCAAGGGGTAGTGGGAGGTGGCCTGGCGTTAGACACAGTCTGTGACTCTCAGAGCATTACTACTGAAATGCAAGCTGCAGAACTTCATTCTTCTTGAAATGTGATCAGGCAATTAGTGTTGTAGATAAATGAAGCTCTCAACGTTTCGGCACCAACTGGTTGCCTTTATCAAGGTTACCTGATAGAGGCAACCAGTTGGTGCTGAAATGTTGGGGGAGTTGGTGACTTGTGTTTCTACCTTGGGGCTTGAAAGATTTTGGTACTTTTGTATTACTGTTTGTCTCTATTTCTGTTACTTTGTCTATTGTTTTTTGTTAAGTATTGTGATTTTTCTATTGATTAAAGCTTTGTTGTACTTAACCATTGTGGTTGTTATAGTGTGCATTCTATATTATATATAAAGTAACATTCACATGAATGCCAGAACCCAAGGTTTCCCAGCAGAACATTGACCAGAGCATAAAATTGAGTCCGCCAGCCTGCCTCCTTCCCATAGTGCATCCTGCATTTGCCTCATTTATCTACCCCAGATAAATGAGGCAAACGCACCTGGTCATTCACCTGATCTAAAAGAAAATGTGATTTATCAGATTGGGCAACATTCTTCCATTGTTCCACGGTCCAGTTCTGATGATTACGTTGCCATACGCAGCAAACTGAGATGCACTGTGTGTTCCGACACATTTCTACCATGGCCATTATTAAGTTTTCAAGCAATTTGAACTACTGTAGGTTATCAGTGGTTTGAATGTTGTGGCTGATCAGTGTATGCTATATTATGCAGGAAAGAAACAATTATTTAAATAATAGTTCCCAATCCCACTGCTTTAGGTCAGTACACGCAGTATAGTCACATTTTATATGTGGAAACTCCTATATGATACCCATGGATCCGATAGACAGTAAAAATAAGGAGTCTACATCAGGGCCAAACTGGCCCACCAGGATTTTCCTGGAAATTTCCTGGTGGGCTGGCATACCTTCAATGCAGGTGCAGCACTCACAATAGCCTGGGGTAATGAGACACACGGGGGCAGGGCCGTCCATAATATGAATATGACCCTGGGCAAAGCATTTTCTTGGGCCCCCTGGGACTTGTCCCTGCCACCCCAATTACGCCTAACCCCCAATCACACTGACAGACATACTGACACATACACACACAGACAGACATATTAAAACATTTGCAGATGCATACTGACACACATATACACTGACACACAAATATATACTGGCGGACATATTGACACATATTCAGACATACTGACACACACATACATACACACACAGACACATACACTGACAGATATACTGACACACACACACAGACATACTGACATACACACACACACACAGTCATACTGACATACACACACAGACATACACACACACACACACACACACAAAGACATACTGACATACATACACACACACAGACATACTGACATACTGACATACACACAAACACACACAGACATAATGACATATACACACACAGACATACTGACATACACACAAACATACTGACATACACACACAAACATACTGAGATACACACAGACATACTGACATACACACACAGACAGACATACTGACATACACACACAGACAAACTGACATACACACACACACAGACATACTGACATACATACACACAGACATACTGACACACACACAAACATACTGACATACATACACACAGACATACTGACATACACACATACTGACATACACACAAACATACTGACACACACAGACACACACACACACACACAGACATACAGACATACGCACACAAACATACTGACATACACACAGACATACTGACATACACACACAGACATACTGACATACACACACATACTGACATACATACACACAGACATACTGACATACACACACACAAACACACACACAGACATACTGACATACATTTAGCCACCCTCCAGGTTCTTACCTTTTTATGGAGGGTGGTTTCCCTGGGTTCCAATGGCAGGCTGAGTCAGTTGGGAGTTATCTTGTAGAACTCCCCTCCTCTCTGCCTTCCTCCTCCCGCATGGCTCTGATCTCCAGTGGGAGAAATCGAGGGGCCCAGTCGCGCTGTTTAAGCATCACAGTGCCCGACTGGGCCCCTGCTGACACATGCCCACCGGGTGGCCCTTAGTGCAAGGGCCACCTGGGGGACCTCCTTAGTTGGCGGGCCGGTGCGGCTCTGTGCAGCAGCACCGCCGGGTAGATGGGGGCTGTGCAAATCGCGGAGCCCATGGAGCAGCTGCTCTGGGGGCACCCAGGAGCAACTGGGCCCGGGGCAGCTGCCCCGTTTGCCCAGCGTGAGGGAGCTGGGGGTGGGAATGAGTCACATGGGGGAAATGAGACACCTGGGACAACTTGGGGGGAAATGAGACACACAGTAGGGCTAGGCGGGAGTAAGACACATAGAGAAGTTTTTTGAGAGAGAAAGAGACATACAAAAGGGTCTGTGGCGGGAGCAGGAGACATACAGAGGGGCTGGAAGAAGAGAGACACATAAAGGAGCTGTGGGAAGAATGAGACACAGAGTGGTGGGGGGTACACGAAAAGGGGAAAATGGGGGATAAGATACACTAAAGTAGGTAAGACAATCAAAAGCGGGGATAAAAAACACAAAAGGGTACAAGAAATTTTAAAAGGGGGGTCATGGGGGCATCTTCTCCTGTGTCTCCTGTACTCCCTGTAACCCAGTTCTTCAGCACAGGAGTCTATGTCAAAGAGTTGATTGTCATGTGAGAGAAAGACCTCTTATTACATGGATTTTCTTCCACTATATACATTTTGCTTGCAATCCTGTTAACACAATGTACAGATAGAAAGTGTAACTGATATGATTATATTAATATACATGTATATATGCATAACACAAACAGAAATTTAAGTAACACATGTGTAATGAGAACGTATAGGTCCAGTCTTGTTGCTAGGTGCACACTCTGGCATATTAACATATTCCAAGTGAAGAGCACACTCATAGGACTTCAAAATAAACTAAAGATAACTAAATATTTTACAGTTGTGCAACAGCATATGTTTACCATTTCAGTTCCTTTACCAAACTTCCCTTAACCCCTTAAGGACGGAGCCAAATGTACACGCTGTTAACAAAACAAAACGTAAACAAAACCTGTCATTTGCGCTACATGTCTGTCCAACCGTAATACACCTCTTTCATAGTAAATGCACCCACCCTTATTATATATCATTTTATTCAGGGGAAACAGAGCTTTCATTTAATATCAAATATTTAGCTATGAAACATAATTTAATATGAAAAAAATGGGAGAAAATACGATTTTTTTAGTTCTACATGACATTTTAACGGTCAGTGTCATAATACTGTTTGCTTTTACTCCAATAAAATACACATATTTGTATTCAGTAAAGTCTCACGTGTAAGACAGTACCCCCTATGTACAGGTTTTATGGCGTTTTGGGAAGTTACAGGGTCAAATATAGCACGTTACATTTGAAATTGAAATTCGCCAGATTGGTTACGTTGCCTTTGAGACTGTATAGTAGCCCGGGAATGAAATTTACACCCATAATGGCATACCATTTGCAATAGTAGACAACCCAAGGTATTGCAAATGGGGTATGTCCAGTCTTTTTTAGTAGCCATTTGGTCACAAACACTGGCCAAAGTTAGCGTTAGTATTTGTTTGTGTGTGAAAAATGCAAAAAACGCCAATTTTGGCCAGTGTTTGTGACTAAGTGGCTACTAAAAAAGACTGGACATACCCTGTTTGCAATACCTTGGGTTGTCTACTATTGCAAATGGTATGCCATCAAAGGGGTCATTTTCATTCTTGGGCTACCATAGGGTCTCAAAGGCAATGTAACCAATCTGGCGAATTTTAATGTGAAAAAAATGAAACGCAAGCCTTATATTTGACGCTGTAAGTTTTGAAAACACCATAAAACCTGTACATGAGGGGTACTGTTGTACTCGGGAGACTTCGCTGAACACAAATATTTGTGTTTCAAAACAGTAAAAAGTATCACAGCAATAATATTGTCCGTGTAATGCTGTTTGTGCGTGAAAAATGCAAAAACGTCACTTTTACTGGCGATATCATCGTTGTAATACATTTTACTGTTTTGAAACACTAATATTTGTGTTCAGCGAAGTCTCCCGAGTAGAACAGTACCCCCCATGTACAGGTTTTATGGTGTCTTGGAAAGTTATAGGGTTAAATATAGTGCTAGCAAATTAAATTCCCTTTACTTTCGGCATGGGTTGTCAGGCAGGTCCTGCTAATTGTAA